GAAACCCCAAAGCTAGGCCCACACCTTGTTAAAGTGCATCCTTTAGCTGTCGCTTTTACGAGCATCAAGCTGCTTTTACTGACACAGAAACGCTGTGCTCCCTGCAGCAACGACGCCTGAGAGGGAGCGGGGACGTTCTCGACCTTAATCGTCGGTCCACAACGCTCACGTTCACAAACTCAAATTCCTGTGTCGGTGTGCAAAAGAAGCCTGTACAGGTCACGCACAGGCCAAACGCGCCATCGTCAACAGATAGTAAACGGCATGTGCAGCCGGGCTTGACCTGACGGCTCAGAGAGCGCCTCGACGCCCGGTGACCTCTGGGTGGAGAGATTCCACATGTGACCTGTAGCTCGTTTCTTATTCTTTGTCCCAACCAGCCTCACAACGGTAACAACCGAGACATGTCACACAGCTATGTCCTCTTGCGTCAGTAAATGTAGAACAATTTTGGATGAACCCAGTCTGTCGTAAGGTTGGGTAATATGACAAAATGCATCTAGAGAGAGGAACGAGATGCGTCAACTGTCTGAGATTTGCCTTTCGGTTTATACCAACGAAGATATCCCTTCAATATATCTCTTTATATTGTGATGGAATCAATAATTCATACTGATAACATTTTTATTTAATAGATTAGCGAGACCCAGACATTCCAGTCTGGTTATTTAATCTACGAAAGTACATCTGTCACAAAATGCATGTATTTAAAGCTGAAACGATTAGATAAAAAATATAATTCTGTAAAATCTTAAATCTCTAACTATTTTGATAATCAAATAATCATGTTCAAAGATGTTCCCTTGCCCTGGGATGTTTTGATAGACGATTTCTGACAAAACAAATAATCAATCAATAATCAGCAGACCAGATCAATAGTGACACTCATTGTTAGTTGCAGTCCTACATATATTTACGTCTTCGTATAAATCGACATGTAGAAACTGCACACCTAGTCACGTTGAATATACTGTACGTGCTATGGTCTACATGTGCCTTAATGATTCGACCACGTACAGTACATCAGTCATTACTCTGGGTTATTAGCTGCTCACGCAGACCTAATGACTCCAGGTTACCGCACTCACATGAGGAATGTAACTGACAGTGTCACATTTGAGGAAGTTAAGTACGAAAGCCACATGCAATCATGTGAGTATATGAATTACACACCAAAACCCAAACTGGAAGGAATGAAGTGGTCCACTTTGTTTATGTAGCTGCTTTTTAACTCAAAAGAAATTATACATTGTTAAAAAGGCAGGATGTTAACATATTATGACCTTAACTTCAACTGTATTCACAATCGCTGTGCATTCTGCAATCCACGTTGAAATGCAGATCAACAGGCCGAGCAAAAGCCTGCCATCTTCTACATAAACTCACTGTCACAGAAGAAGATTTATACCTCAAAAAAAAGGAGAAACGGGCACGGATGAGTTTTGGCAGGAGGGCCAGCAAAGAGTGATAAAGGCCCTCTGTGAGAAGGGAGCGCTGCCTTTCTCGTCCTTGCTGCCTCAGGTTTCTGCTGACTCAAACACTTTTTAAAAAAACATAACAGAGAAACCAGATGTGGTCTCTGGAGAAAGAAGGAGACAAAGAGTAGAAGGCAAGGAGGTGAAGTAACTAACAGGGCTGTGGGACGGCTCTCCCTCCCGCCGACACACCGCCATAACTCAAACGGCTCAGTGAGGCCTACACACACACACACACACACACACACACACACACAGGAGCTCCACTCGAGGGGAAAGAGTTCCTCAAAGCCAAATAAGTCATTCATCACAGCTGGGAGTAGAAGACACCGGGAGAGTAAATTTAATTAGAGAGAAGATTAGACCATGACAAACTGAGGGCTTGCTCCTGTGTCCATGAAGTGCATGTTAATTTAGAGCTAAGTTTAATAGGTGCCACACAGTTGCTGTACATTAGCTCAGTGCGATATATATTGTAAGTGAATACTGTTTGTTGAAATCAGCCACAGACGGTGCCTTTGTCTGCAAAGGTAAAAATAGAGATGTAAATGTGTTGTTTTCAACTGAGGGAAGCATCACAACCACACCATAGCGGCATTACGTGGCTGGATTTCCTGTAAACAGGTGATGTGTGGGAAAACAAAACATCTGTAGTTTCACAATTTGTTGGCATGTCTAGAAAAGGAGACTTGCGGCACGGACGAGTTGTCAAAGGCGTGATCAAGAGCGGTTGAAGTCAGAAATGGGAAGGAAGCAATGCCAGCGGAGAGCAACCACACTGAAGCATTCGGTTTCACAGAAATGTCACGACGATGCTCTGCAGCTCTGGCCTGTGCACTGACGAGAGAGAGAGAGAGAGAGAGAGAGAGAGAGCAGCAGAGTCACCCTCGAGAAGGTCTATACAGAGCTGTCACGGCTGCACTCCGGCTGCAGCAGATAAGCAGGTTGTGTCGAGACGGTCGACCCTGCGGGACGCAGCTGGCACCCACCCAGACGTCTCACTCTGATAGCGGGACACAAATATATGCAGGGTGCCTCTTGAATGGCTGCCACGGCAAGCACTCAGTTTCGTAAGAGACACCTCGCATGCATTCATCGCTGAGCAGCAGCCAGTGAGCCTGTCGTCCGCAGGAAATGGAAGAAAGAAAGAAAAAAAGTAGACAAAAACATATTTATAAGTTGCCACACTGGACACCGACACTGGCATAAAATGGACAGATGACTTAAAAGTAGTTCCCGAGGTCCCGCACAAATATTTGCACTTTTTCACAATACATGCAGTCAATGCCTCCCGTGTCAAAAGCAGACGTTTATCGGTCACTTTGCCTACCGCAAGAACATAAAGTACAAGGAGGGCTCTGTGCTGCGCCCGCGTAAACCTAACGCACCGGCACATGACCAAACAAAGACAGTGAGTCAGGGCTCAAACAGCAGCACCTCCCTGGTGTGGTGTCTGAGGGCGTGAGGGAGGTCGAGTTTTTGGAAACGATACTGGGATTGCTACAGATTAAACAGGTGTGTAGCTCTGAGTGGATGCGCCAACTGGTCACACACACACACTCATTAAACTGGTTGATCCTGACAGCTGGAAGACAGCCAGAAGACTTTTGGTTTGTCTTCTGATTTATCAGAAGACAAACCAAAACAGATCAAGCGAGGACACTGAAATGTTGGATCATTCCTTTGAGAATACCCATAAAGGGTTGGGAACTGAAAACATTTTGGCTTTTTAGTTACACTCGTTTGAGACAACCGATCGCTTGGCTGTAAGAAAAAGTCGAAAAAGGCACATTGTACATTCTCATGCCTTCAAAGTGCTTGTTTGGTTGGGTCAATAGCCCAAAACCGAAAGATATTCAATAAACGGGAATCAAAACTGAGGAAAATCTGCAGAAACCAGACAAAGTTTGTCTCTTTTGCCTGATAAATGACTTACACAAGTATCAAAATTGTTACCGATAAATTTCCTGTTTCTCGTTAATAATCTCAGCACTACATACACATGCACTGTAGATGACTTTGCTTCAGCTTGATGTCACAGCCTCAACCTTTAACGCCTGTACGTTGGGAGTAATGACCGTGTAATTTGAAGAGGATCACAATGATACCTCGTCACTGCAGGGCACGTCATTACAAATAAGTGGACGGAACTTTTTTCCTGGGGAGGGACGGAGAGAAAGACAATGGCAGGAAAGTACTTTTAAATATGATCTAATGCATCTTCTGTCATTAAGGAGTATTTCAACATAATTAAATGTATTTAAGCCCTGACATGAGAGACAAAACATCAGTGAATAACTAAGAGAACGCACATGTTCTACAGTCAAGATGCTGCACATGATGTAAAAAAAAAAAAAAACATCTTTTTTAGAAACTTGTGGCCACAGTGACGACAAGGGAAGTGAGTAAACCGATGATGGAACACTTTACCGGCACTTGCGTTTGTCAGTTTGACATGGTCACTTCGTTGGTAAGCGACCACACCCGTCGTCGGACATGAGGTAACTGTTGTGTCTTAACACCTGCTTTGTGATCAGCCGGGGCCTTCTCTGCCTCCCAGGTCAGGGAGGAATATGTCTGAACTCGTTTCTCTCGTCTACAGTGCACACATCCATTACTCACTCCCAGACATGTGACTGGCAAACCCCAATCCCTCAGCGTGGGTGACAGCGTGTCACGCACATGCAGCCCAACACACACACCCATCTCAGCCTCAGCTCACATGCTGATAGTCACATCAGCTGTTTTGTAAATCCGCTCTAGCAGGCAGTTCTTTTTTTCTAAGAATCCGCTTGGGATGACCTTGATGCGAAAAAAGAAAAACAAAGCACACCAAAAAAAGTTTTGCTTCTTCCACCAACCATCTTCCCTACAGCAGCTAGGCTTTGTTGTATCAAAGAGGAGTTTTGCTTCCTGACAAGAACCCCCTTTGGATCTGTGAAGTCAAAACAGAGCAGAAAACAGACTGTCTGTGCCTTTAATGAGCGCAGATATCACATCACCGCGAGCTGAGCGCTGTACCCCTCGGGGAGGAAAAGAAAAAGGTGGAGCGAGATGCATGCTGGGGGTAGTAGAGCGGGATAACCGTGTGTGTGTTTGCCGTCTGTGGCGCCTCTTAATTTGGAGAAATGACAGGCGAGATCTAGATTCACCCCGCCTCCGTTCACAGCATCAGCCTGGGCTAGGATTATCACATTACTGACAGGATTCCCTTTCCATACAAGGTAACGAGTTTCATCCGTGAAGCGGAGACCGATCTAATCGACGTGAATTTGCTCTTTGAAATGAGCTCATTATCCATTTCCAGACATGAGGAATTAATTGATGGAATCTCATTGAAGATGACCTCCGATCCAATCGGGTGCTTTTTACTGAGAGGAAAATATCTTGACGTTTACCTGCAGCCAGCATGCCTTCGCTTAGTATGTTATAGGAGCTCAAGGGTGCTCAGCAAAAGCATGCACACGCAAATCAAAGAAACGGGACGAGATGTGGTAGGCCAAAGGGTCTCAGGTGTGATCTTACCTGTGTTTCTCCAGCTCGTTGTGCGACGATCTGTGAGGACGAAAGAGACAGAGGGGCGTCAAAGCACTGGCAAAATACTACACGCGCTCAAATCACATGACAAGAGAGTTAGGATGCGATGCAATGAACAGTCCCAAATTGAGAGGCATGGTTACCAACAGTTTTTATCTAACTGTAAGACAAATGAAAGCAAGATGAATGGAAGAAATGCAGAGTTAACAGCAGATGTGAGAAGCATTCTAAGGAAAAATGTGTCAAGACAGCAAAGAATGGTGTGGATTCCTTTCTGCTCACGTGTTTCTTTAGGGCTTTTGAATGCTTGAGTTGCTTTAAGTTTTACCGAAGACATAGAATATAATAATAATAATAATAATAATACTCCAAAATAGGCCTCAAGCAAGTAACGCAAAGGCTTGATCACACATTCTGGGAATAGACGTCCATGACAAGTGTGAAAAAAATGGGAGTGGAGTTTTTCAAAATCTTTTTCCATGTCTGTGTGACGTCTGTCAGAGAGTGTGCAGCAGAGCGCCAAAATGACCCTGAGAGAGAGAGACACCCCCCCCCCCCCCCCCCCCCCCTCGCCCCGCTCTCAAACAGCATGCACGCACTGCTGTTGTTGCTGCACTCTGGCTGAAAAGCAGCGTGGATAAAAACACACTCAGACGTCTGGAGGCGGAGACGCTGCAGAATTCCTCAGTGTGCGGGTTATTCCGAGGAGGGCCCCTGTCGCGATGTGCTGCGAGGGCACTGCAGCCCGTCTGAAACAGGCCCTCTGTCCACGAGGCCGTCATGGATACCGCGGCAGTAAAAACAAAACAAAAACAGCAACAACAAAAGGGCCAGACTGACAACAAGCCTTTTCAGATTTTTCCGCTGTTTGAGAGCCCTTGTGCTCGCGAAAGCAGTGGTTCCCACAGCTGTGGGAGGCCGAGGCACCAAAAAAGGGGTTACAGTTGACCGTGCGAGCTGCGATAATGTGGCACCTGCCCAAAAAAAATCCTCTCATAAGGAGGACCAGACGTTTCACTGCTGCTAATAAACCTGATCCAAAAAGGCCGACATCATGGAGGAAGTTGTGCTGTTCAAACCTACACAAATTGGGGGAAATGTCCCAGACAAAGCACAGGGCATGACCAGGAAATAATACAGCAGCTTTCAAAGGAAGGGAATGCACGCAGACCTGTAATAACAGCAGGTCAACACACACACCTTTACATGTTATGTAAAAGAATGGTGTGGCATGCAAAGGACTCTGTGCTCCCATGGTATGAACTGGGCCCTGGTGATCAAAGGCCTACACATTAGCCTTGTATCTCCCTTTTTTAAATGGGATGGAAAACTGACAAAGATCATCGTAGGAGCACCTTAAGACTATTCAGTCTACGAGTAAAAACAAGGAAACTCCACCAGGTTTTTTTTTTCTTTCTGTGTGCAGAAATAGACTCCCAACCGTTTTTTTTTGTTTTTTTTCACATGCCCTAAATATTGCATCATTGCAAAACATGCGATTGGTGACGATTTGGTCCTAATATCAAACCTAACAGTTTTTAGTTCTACAAAGCCAAGCTTTGTGCTTTTTAACAAACAGCCTGCTTCTGTTTCACTGAAAATAAGTTCAAACATGTTTTTACTTCACTACCCCCTGCATCCTGTCGATGCTAAAACAAACAGCAAGAGAGTGTAAAGGGAATTGGGGAATTGGCCCACAGTGCAAAAGAGGGAAAAGCAGGTCTGGTGCATGAAGCTTGGTGCACTGGTGTTTGTCACAGGAGGTGTGTGTTTCAGCCACCACACCCACCTGCCACATCCCCGTACACACCCACCCACACACACGTAAACAATGGTGTTACTATGTCTGAGACTGTGTCAATGGAATGTGGATGAGACTGCTATGACAAATATAGAAAGATTACTTTTAAATGTACAAAGGGAGTGCAATTACAATTGTGGCTCCACAGGTTCATATTCTGTACGCAATATGATGTAACTCTGACGCTCACTAGTGAGGAAACCAGGCTCACTATGCTTCCCTAAACTAATATTAGCCAACAGGAACGTTTTTTTATCTTCATGTGATAGTGTTCCTGGGAATAAAACGGCACTGACAAGGGCACATCACGCAAATGTCTCTGGAGAGTTTCACCAAAAAACACATTTACTACAAATTGTTAGCAGATGAAAGATTTCACTGTTGCACACTTGGCCAAATAACACTGCAACATTTTATTTTGCATGTAGCCTAGGACGTAAAGGTCCCCAAGTTAGGGCCATAAATCAACGGAAATCTTGTTAGCGACTAGAGCTGATAGGATCAGTCGATCATAAGGAAATAAAACGTCAACTATTTTGATAATCAATTAAATCAAATGTGATAGTAGACTTAATATATTTGGCTTTTGGATTGATTGTTGGAAAGAAAAACAAGGGATTTCAATATTACGTTGTGCATTTTTAACTCTTCTGTGACATTTTAACTGTTAAAAAATGAATCAGTTAATCAATAAATAATTTGCAGATTAACCAATAATGACAACAGTACAGGATAACAGCACTGTTAGCAACCTTCCTACTGAACAGGCCTTTTAATCACAAAGAGGAGAATTACATTTTAACTTGCTGAGGTTGAAATGACCTTTAACCAGCTGTCCAACTGGTCTAAAACAGAGCAACAAATCAAGGTTGAACCGAAACTGAAACTTCAATGTATTCACTTATGTAATGTTATTCTGTGTGATTGTATGGCCTAGCAGCAAGGCCTATATTAGCTGCAGGCTGTCGCAGTATGGGAATGGGATTGGACTGGGGGGGGGGGGGGGTACTACCAGGGGGGTAAAGGACTTTCATTTAACATCAGACACACACACATACAAAACACACCAACCACATGAAAAAAAAAAGGCACAGGTGAAAAAGCACGACAGTCGTGCAAAAATGAAAGGTTATGTGCATGTGTGTGTTGTCTCTCAGCACGGGGAGGGAGGGAGGGAGGGTGTGTGTGTGTGTGTGTGTGTGTGTGTGTGTGTGTGTGTGTGTGTATGTGAAAAAGAGAAAGAGTGGGAGCAGCAGAGTTGACAGTGTACGCGTGGCAGTGTTTATTGGAGAGACCAAAACAGAAAGCCCAGCCCAGGCAGCAGCAGAGAGAAGGCAGTGTGCATGAAAACAGCCAAACTACGTGTGTGTGTGTGTGTGTGTGTGTGTGTGTGTGTGTGTGTGTGTGTGTGCGTGTGTTTTTACACGTTGGGACTTACAGTAAACAAATACAAAAAGCAAGACTGACATATTTACCTATTGTTCTGAGATTTTCTGGAAATTGGCGAGGCTTTCGTTTTCTTACTGGAAAAGTCGCTGCTGTACGGTAAAACCGACGCATAACCGTGTTCTGCCTCTATTGAGCAAAACAAAACACATAGCATGTTAATTTACTGTGGTGTCTGCAAGAATAAATAATAATAAATAAAAAAAAAGCTGTCAATGAGCCATTCGGGGAAACATGAAATATCAATAGAGGAACAAAACGTGATCGATCGTCAACGTTATCGCTTCCAATAGATCAATATCGTGCTATATAGCCTTCAGCAAGGTGTATATATATATTGTGAAGCAATCCACGTGACATGATCATCTATGTGTCTCTGTAATTATGATACTGGTTCATATTCTCAATGTCACTCTTGTTTACTCATTTCCGAAGAGAGATAATCCGAGGACACACTGCATTCTGAGTATACAACACGTGAGCTAGTATTAGACACATTGCAGACACAGTTCACAAATACATTACCTACTTTAAATAATAACATAGAGCTGCTCTTTTTCTAGCATATAGGCTACTAGGTCCAGTCCCGTCCCTCCCACCGTCCCATTGTCTGTAGAGTGACATCATACCTGCACTATGGCACAGCACGTTAAAACTTTACATAAGATAGAAGATTAAGCATTGCTGCCGTCCTAATGCTCCATTCACAAAATAATCACGAGCCTCGAAATCCTGTCAAGTTGTCAGTTTTAGCTTGAAATACCTCTGTCTCTTCTTTCCAAGTACTCTGCAGCCTCCAGCAGAATTAAAAGAGAATTAAGTTCCATCTTGTTGTCGGCTTGTTATTAGAAATAGAAAATATCTTTTGACACAGATGTAGAAGTCATGAAGTACTGGAATTGAAATTGTCAAACTGTTTGTACAGGACGATGTACGAGCGCTGCTATATTCAGTTCTGAGTCTTGGTCACTCCAAACTACAGTATCAACAGCACCTAAACTAAAACTCAGGGAAGTGAGTGAACGCACGCTCGCCCAATGAGAAAAGCCTGTGGGTGGGTTCTCGAGGTATGTCTTAGCCTATGAGCAGGCTGCAAACGGTGGGGTGCTATTTGATTGGCTTGAGGGCAAAAGTCATCAGGGACATACCCTAGCAACAGCCTGGGTTTCCCGCCCCTTCCACAGCTGATTGGTGTGACGCGAGGGCAGGCGGTCTCTGATTGGCTGGGATGGATTCCGGGATACTGTCATAGTTGAACTTGCGCTATTGATTTTGTTGCCAAGTTTAATAACTTCTCCAAAGTATGCGTTTGGATTTGGACAGTGAAGTACACTAAATTCAACGGTCATTCAGTCACACGAGAGTGTGTGACATGGCAAAATTACTCAAAGCGTGTGTGTTGTTTTCATTTCCTGTCCAAGTCATTATGAAAGCCCTGTATGAGGCTGCAGAAACTGAATTTAGTTTATGACTCCTCCTGAAGATATAAAGTGACTGAGCTTCAGTTTTGATTGCATGTTGTTTTTGACTGAATACATTGAACATGCAAAGTTAAATACACATTTCCTTAAAAAGTATAAATATTATCAACCTCTTTTAATGACAACTCTCTCTTAATACAACCACAGCCAGAGCTGGGACAAAGTCAATGTTCTGCAAGTCACGAACATGTGGCATTGGCTTTGAAGATTCAAGTCCTTGAGTTTGTTTTTCGAGTTGTAAACTTCACCAAATGTAAGGCCGTGTTCAGTCTGAAACAGAATAACAGATAGAATAGTACATCATAAGTAATGACTGCTTTTTACAAGTAAACCGTGGCATGTTATTCCTGTGACACAGTTAGAGCTGGAACAATCGGCTGACTGACAGAAAGTTGGTCTCGCACAATTTTAGTAATTCATTAAATTAATTAAATGTAATGTTTAAAGTAAAATTGTCAAACATGTTCTGGTTCCAGCCTCTAAAGTTGGTCCAACATTTGAATAAGTCCAGAAATTATGAATCCCCTTTTTCTCACTATTTTCTGATGTTTCTTATACCAAACAATTAATGAAGAAATTAATCACGAGATGAATTGATAATAAAAATGATAGTAAGTTGTTGCTCTAATTTGTTTAATTTCTGAGCTGAATGTTTTGCAGGTTGTCTTTACATCCAAATGTGAGTATCTGTTGTCTGTCTGTTTGTTTGCAATGCAAAAAAGACCTTTCCCTTTTGCAGATTTCGTATACATTGCGAGGGAAGCAACAGAAAACTTGTGACTAAATATGATATGTTTAGTTTTAGCTCCAGACCAGTGCCTCATTTCAAACAGTAAATACCAACAGAATGAAGCCTAATGTTGTAATATTCCTGCAGCAGCATTGTGGGCATTTGCAAAGTTTCACTTTGCAAGAACAGCAGAAGAGTTATGAATGTCTCAGCAGGAGTTCCTGCAGAGTATAAAAGTGGGTTGCTCTGCATGGCAGGCAGCTTATGTTGCTTGCAGCCAGATGTTTGAGCCTCAGATCATTATTTGAGTACATTCTGAAGAAATCACAAAAGCGTAATGATAAGGGAAGTAACTTTCAGTGTGAATGATGAGATAAAATAAAAAGGCCCTCGAGGATCAGAGCCACAAAATTTGTTTTTGTTGTAGTTTCTTGGTAACAACAGTCACGCGGGGTCCTCATGGGGCCTGTATTGCTGACAGTTCATCATAGATTGCAAGAATTCAGACGACACAAACTGCTGGTTAAATATGTTGCTGTCAGCTATTGTACATGTGAACAAATGTGCTATAATAAACAAAAGCTGTGTATTATTGCCACTTGCAACCACACAAACACAAATGCAAAATATGTTGGTGGTGCTAAGAAATGTGCTTTATCAATTTGCATTCCAACATATTGTGAAAAGACTGAATGCTGTACACTCTTTTGCCGGTTTATTTAAATGAAGCTTAATTTAATGTGTTATACTCAGAGGTGTTTCTAATATTTTGTCTACCCTCATTGATTTGATTTGGTTGAATAGAATATAAGAAACACCTCCCACTGTTTTTTGAAATTGTTATCATTTTAATTTATTTTTTATTTGGATATATATACAGAGAGAGAGAGAGAGAGAGAGAGAGAGGAAAGAAAGAGAGAAAGGGGTTGACATGCAGCCAGGGAGCAAGGCCAGACCAGTGTGGCAATGTTTCAGTCTTACTGATGCACACTCGACATGGTGAGCGATACGGGGCCACCTCACATGTCTCACTCTTAACAATAACACCATTCATCAGCACCACAAACTGCAGCCACCAAAATGACCATAAAGTTGAATTGATACCTCTCTAAAACAGAACATTATAAATGTCGTAAAGGTAGGATTTATTGCAGGACTGTTGTATTTTACTGCTTTGGTTTAAGCTACCAAAAAAACTGGCAACTAAGTGTAAATGTCTAACATTTAAACAAGACATTGAGGATGCAGGTGATTGTGGACGATTTAACATTTACAGAAATTGTGGTTATATTTGGTCCACGTGGCTGAAGCCATGCAGAAAAGACATTCGGCTGCAGATGAAACTACATCTATCAATAGATTTTATTTCTTGTGTCTGGCCTGCCTTTCGTTTTGCATGACTTAATTTTAGCACCTGAATGGAGTGGTTAGTGTAATATCACTCTTTTTTTGTGAACCAGGATCAAGTGTATGGTTTCTATGTTGTGTTAGCCATCTTTTGTTTGTCCTTTAATACCCACTTATGAGCCAAAGCTGCATGCCACTGAGATCATTAATGATCTCTCCTCACATGCAATTTCAATTCCCTAAATACAGTCAGAATAGAGGAGCATTTTTTTGTGTCACTAAGCTTCATACAATGATTTATTTATGGGGAGGTTTGATAGTATTGTTTGCTGTCCTGCCTGCCTGCACGTTCCTCATGGTAATATGAAGACACAGTAAACAAGAGACCAAACGAGCCTGACTACATCCTTTTTTTTGAAACAGTGCAGCCGATGTACAGCCATAAAATATGCATAGTAAAATATTCTGCAACTATCGCATTTTCTCTGGTTAAGCCTGATGCCTAAACCTGATGACTATTTCTGGGGTAATTAAAGACACGTTATGCAACTTGCACACTTCTTATCATATGCCCACATTTGCAGTGACGTTGGTTCACTCTGCCACTGAACTTTGTACATCTGTAGCTTGTTTCAGATTGCAGCAGACCACAGGTTTATGAAGTCGCATGGGGTGTTTGTCTCTTCAGGTTTTGTTGTGCCAGCATTTGTTTGACCTCGTTTTAGGTCAATGCAATCCAGCCAATGACCGAGAGAAACTTGAGCTTGACCCTTTTATGTAAGCAGGCATTCATCATCTAGTGCATGTTATTGTTTCAAAAGTTCTGACATTTATTCACCTTGCATAGTTTTAGAAGTCTTGTTTCCTCTCTTACTGAACTAGACATTTTTTACAATTATTCAGTGACATAGTTTGACAATCATCACAGTTATAGATTGATAACTTTATAAAAAAAAAAGAAGATTTGTGTGGTTAATGAACGCTGGTTAAGCCGACACGGAGGAAAAACCCAGACCTTCTGTTTATTCCGAACGTAACATCTTCTTTTGTAAAATTCATGTTAATCTACTTGAATGTTTTTGATTTCAGCCTCTATCACATTTACACTGTCATGTTAAAAAATAACGGACAATCAGTTGCCTGGTATCTATTTTCATGGTTGTGCTATCCATATAGTATTTGCAGCATGCATGAATCATTGTTTTTTTACTGATACATTTTCTTCAACTAACAACATATTTGTGATAACTATCGTCATTAATAAACCTTCCTGCTGGTGTGTGTTCAGCAATCTAACCTTGTGCTTTTTCCTTTAAATATGGTCAAAATAGCCATCATGGCAAAATGCACATGCAGGTGCAACACAACAGGTTATGTTCTAAAGTGCTCGTTACAGTACAGAAATTCAACCATCCTTTTGTATGGTATGAAAGGAAATAGCCTTTGTCCCTGCTGCTGCATGTTTCTATTTATAGACTTATCATCTGCATGCTCTCTGATCATAGTGGCTCAGGCCTTGCATTGCTCAATGCCTCAGGCCTGTCAGCCAAATGACTCCTCTCTCCACCCTTTCTTTGTTTTCATCCATCCATCGCTCTATCTTAGCCAAACATCTCCATCCTGTCCATCCCGCTGGTAACCAGCTGACCAAATCTAAGCAGTAAATAAGAGCATTATAACTGTTTGTGTGTGTGTGTGTGTGTGTGTGTGTGTGTAGAGCTTTTGATAATGCTGTTGATATTGAGGGTTTGGATTTTTTGTTTAGTTCAGTTTTGCCATAATAGGCATCCTCCATTAAAGAAAACAATTTCCTGAAATTAAAACGTAAGGTTTCAGTCACCTGCTTCGGTTTCCATATTTAGACACGACTAAGGAACAAAATATCAACAACATGTGTTTTCCGCTTCCTGAACGACAGCGGGCGGTCTCAAAGTGATAATCCCCCAATCAAAGTGATGTTCTCAGGAAATGACCCAAATGCTTTTAATATGTGACTGGAAGGTAGTTCCTTTTCTACAAAAGATTCCTCTGTCAGGACAGTAAATAATCTGTAGACTATGAAGTCTTTTAATCTTAAAAGACAATAGTCCGAAAGCTCTGGAGCCAGGACAGACAAGCCAAGCCGGTTTGTGTTTGACTCCTCTTTAACCAAGATGGTCTCTTTAATATGAATATTGTGAGATTAACTTAACCCATTGTATTTAACCCACATATTGTTTGTGTCCGTGCATATGGAAACTCACAGCTCTGTTGTTGTTAGCGAGAAAGCGAATGGAGATGTAAGAGGTAAGAGACGGGGGGTTGTTCATCTTGGTAGCACTAATTATTTGCTGACTACCTTCCACCATTTTGGATCAGGATTAGGCCTGTTAACGCCACTATGGTCCAGTGTAACTAGGACTAAATCCATGGATACATTTTGCACTTTCGTTCAACA